ACAGTAACGTATACACGATCTATCTATATATATATGTATGTGTATATATATATATATATATATATATATATATATATATATATATATATATATATATATATGCGTGTATGTGTGTGTGAATATATATATATATATATATATATATATATATATATATATATATATATATATATATATATATGTGTGTGTGTGTGTGTGTGTGTGTGTGTGTGTGTGTGTGTGTGTGTGAGTGTGTATTATATATTCTAATATAAATGATGTATATACGTATTTGAATATATATATATATATATATATATATATATATATATATATATATATATATATATATATATATATATATATATAAACACAAACACACACATTTATGTGTGTGTGTACGCGTGTGTGTGTGTGCGTGTGTCCGTAGAGGTATTATCCCGTATTGTATGATCATTAAATCTTTAAACAAAAGTCAAGTGAAAGATTATTTACATCTGACATGTTTTCAAGTATAATCCCTTTGTGGTCGCGAATATTAGATTTCTTGGGATATCAACTAACATTGCATTTTCCCGACTTTATTTTTATTTTCTTGTTTTGTTTCTCTTTATGTCTGTTGTTGCCTTTATGAAGAATGCAGTTTCTATTGACCATTTTATCTGGTAAGCTACTTGGGTATTCTGTCTCTCTCTCTCTTTCTCTTTCTCTTTTTTCTTTCTCTCTCTCGCTTTCTCTCTCTCTCCTAAGTGGGAATAGGGTTGGGTGTGGGAATGGGAATGAGAATGGGGTTGGGAGTGGGAATGGGAATGGGAACGGGAATGGGAATGGGGTTAGGCGTGGGATTGGGAGTAGGAATGGGAATGGGGTTGGGAGTAGGAATAGGGTTGGGTGTGGGAATGGGAATGAGAATGGGGTTGGGAGTAGGAATGGGAATGGGGTTGGGAATGGGAATGGGGTTGGGAGTAGGAATAGGGTTGGGTGTGGGAATGGGAATGGGGTTGGGAGTGGGAGTGGGAATGGGGTTGGGAGTGGGAATGGGGTTGGGAGTAGGAATGGGAATGGGGTTGGGAGTAGGAATGGGAATGGGGTTGGGAATGGGAATGGGGTTGGGAATGGGAATGGGGTTGGGAGTAGGAATGGGAATGGGGTTGGGAGTAGGAGTGGGAATGGGTGGGAATGGGAGTGGGGGTGGGAGTAGGAATGGGAATGGGGATGGGGATGGGAATGGGGTTGGGAGTGGGAATGGGGTTGGGAGTGGGAGTGGGAATGGGGTTGGGAGTAGGAATGGGAATGGGGTTGGGAGTAGGAATGGGAATGGGGTTGGGAGTAGGAATGGGAATGGGGTTGGGAGTGGGAATGGAATGGGGTTGGGGTTGGGAATGGGGTTGGGAATGGGGTTGGGAGTAGGAATGGGAATGGGGTTGGGAATGGGGTTGGGAATGGGGTTGGGAATGGGGTTGGGAGTAGGAATGGGAATGGGGTTGGGAATGGGGTTGGGAATGGGGTTGGGAGTGGGAATGGGGTTGGGAATGGGGTTGGGAATGGGGTTGGGGTTGGGAATGGGGTTGGGGTTGGGAATGGGGTTGGGAATGGGGTTGGGAATGGGGTTGGGAATGGGGTTGGGAATGGGGTTGGGAATGGGGTTGGGAATGGGGTTGGGAGTAGGAATGGGAATGGGGTTGGGAGTAGGAATGGGAATGGGGTTGGGAGTAGGAATGGGAATGGGGTTGGGAGTAGGAATGGGAATGGGGTTGGGAGTAGGAATGGGAATGGGGTTGGGAGTAGGAATGGGAATGGGGTTGGGAGTAGGAATGGGAATGGGGTTGGGAATGGGGTTGGGAATGGGGTTGGGAATGGGGTTGGGGTTGGGAATGGGGTTGGGAGTAGGAATGGGAATGGGGTTGGGAGTAGGAATGGGAATGGGGTTGGGAGTAGGAATGGGAATGGGGTTGGGAGTAGGAATAGGGTTGGGTGTGGGAATGGGAATGAGAATGGGGTTGGGAGTGGGAATGGGGTTGGGAGTAGGAATGGGAATGGGGTTGGGAGTAGGAATGGGAATGGGGTTGGGAATGGGGTTGGGAGTAGGAATGGGAATGGGGTTGGGAGTAGGAATGGGAATGAGAATGGGGTTGGGAGTAGGAATGGGAATGGGGTTGGGAGTAGGAATGGGAATGGGGTTGGGAGTAGGAATGGGAATGGGGATGGGAATGGGAGTGGGAGGAGGAATGGGAATGGGGTTGGGAGTAGGAATGGGAATGGGGTTGGGAGTAGGAATGGGAATGGGGTTGGGAGTAGGAATGGGAATGGGGTTGGGAGTAGGAATGGGAATGGGGTTGGGAGTAGGAATGGGAATGGGGTTGGGAGTAGGAATGGGAATGGGGTTGGGAATGGGGTTGGGAATGGGGTTGGGAATGGGGTTGGGAATGGGGTTGGGAATGGGGTTGGGAGTGGGAGTGGGAATGGGGTTGGGAATGGGGTTGGGAGTAGGAATGGGAATGGGGTTGGGAGTAGGAATGGGAATGGGGTTGGGAATGGGGTTGGGAGTAGGAATGGGAATGGGGTTGGGAGTGGGAATGGGGTTGGGAATGGGGTTGGGAATGGGGTTGGGAGTAGGAATGGGGTTGGGAGTAGGAATGGGAATGGGGTTGGGAATGGGAATGGGGTTGGGAGTAGGAATAGGGTTGGGTGTGGGAATGGGAATGAGAATGGGGTTGGGAGTGGGAGTGGGAATGGGGATGGAAATAGGAGTGGGAATGGGAACGGGAATGGGAATGGGGTTAGGCGTGGGAGTGGGAGTAGGAATGGGAATGAGAATGGGAGTGGGAATAGAAATGTGAGGAGGGGTAATTCGAAGGGGGATACAGGGTTGGGGGGGGGGGAGAGGTTTGAGTGGAGGGAAAGACGGAGTGGGGGTAAGGTGGGGGGGGGTAGGGGGAGGGGAGAGACCGAGATAAACACCGGCGTAAACCTGTTTGAGCTTCCACCGTACTACGAGAGACGGCTTCGAGAACGAGCGGCGGATGAAAACGGGCTCGTCTCTTCGTTCTTTGGGCTTGGCGAGTTCCTGCTGTTTTCTCTCTCTTGCTCTCTCTCTCTCTCTCTCTTTCGTATTCTGTGTCTGCCTTTCGTTCTCTTTGTTTGTATATATATATATATATATAATATATTTCTTTGTTGTCTCTATCTCGGTTACTCTCTCTCCCTGTTTCTCTGTATGTCTGTCAGTCTGTCTATCTGTCTCTTTTTCTCCATCCCTCTGTCCCTTTCTCTTTTTCTCTCCCTTTCTCTTTTTCTCTCCCTTTCCGTCACCTCTCCCACCCTCCCTCCTTCTCCATCTCTTTCCCTCCATTACTCTACCTCGGTCTCCCTCCCTCCCTCCTCCTTTTCTCTCCTTCTCTTTCCCTTCCTCGTTCTTCCTCGTTCTCACTCCTTTCCCTTTCTCTCCCTCTTTCTGTCTGTCTTTATCTGCATCCTTCCCCCTTTCTCTCCCTCCCTCTCTACCTCTCTATCCTTCTCCCTTCGTCTTCCTCTATTTCCCTTCATCCACCATCATTTCTCTCCCTCCCTCTCTACCTCTCTCTCCTTTCCCTCTATCCCCCCTCCCTCGTTCTCCCTCCCTCCCTACCTCTCCTTCCTCCTCTCTTCTCCCTCTCTTTCCCTCCCTCCCTCTCCCTTTCTCTCCCTCCCTCTCCCTACCACTCCCTCCATCTCCCCCTCCCTCCATCTCCCTCCTCCCTACTTCGTTCTCCCTCCCTCTCCAACCTCCCCCCGACCTTTATAGCCCAAAGCGAGCGAGTTTTTGCTACTTTACGACCTGTGTCGAGCTAATTTTCGCTAAACTTGAGAGCCAACGATGATGTGTCGCTTGAAACGGGTATTGTCCTTGTTGAGTTAGGAGAGGATTTGGGGGGAGGAGTTTTCCTTCATTGGTGTCTCATTGGGACACCGACGAAGGGGGGAAGGGGAGGGGGAGGGGGGGGATAGGGGAGATGGGGAGGTAGGGGGGAGGGGGAGCGTAAAGGTAGGGGAGGCGGGAAAAGGAGGGGGAGGGTAGGGGAGGTGGGAAAGGAGGGGGAGGATAGGGGAGATGGGGAGGAAGGGGGGAGGGTAGTGGTGGAGGAAGAGGGAGGTGGGGAGGGAGAGGTGAAAGAGGGAAAGGGAGGGAGGCGTAGGGAGACGACGGGGGAAGATAGGGGGAAGAAGGGAGAGATATGGTGAGATAGGGCAGGAGAGGTGAAGGAAAGAAAGGGAGGTGTGAAGGAAGGGGAGGGAGGGAAGAGGAGGGAGAGAATTGGTGAAGTAGAGAAGTAGAATAAAGGAAGGAAGGAGAATAGAGAGGAAAGGTAAAAAGAGGAAAGGCAAAATGAGAGAGTCACAGGGATGGAAAAAGAAGGAAAGAGAGGGAGGATTGCTATAACGAAAGAGCTCTTGGGAAATTGAAAAAAAGGGAAATAGAGAGAAACAAAGAAAAGGGATAACAATTAACAGATTTACACAAACACAAAGACCCACAGGAACATAAACAGATGCAAACCAACATACAAACTAACCCACAGTCAGACACAGACTCGCAAGCCCACAGACATAGAAACCCACAAACAGACACATACACACACACACAAGGCTCCATAAACCCCACCGACAGACACACACAAACTCCACAACCGCAGACACACGAACCCATGATCCACAGACACAACAAATAACCCACAGCCAGACACACTAACCCACATCCCAAATCCTAAAAAGTCCATGAACCCACTGACCCACGAACCCACAACCAGTCACAACCCTACAAACCAGTCACAACCCACAACCATACACAGCCCATAATCAAACACAACCCTACAAACCAGACACAACCCTACAAACCAGTCACAATCCCAACTACCTGCCAACCCACAACCAGACATAACCCTACAAACCAGACACAACCCCAGCTACCTGCCAACCCACAACCAGACACAACCTACAACCAGAGACAACCCTACAAACCAGGCACAACCCTACAGACCAGT